TTCCAGGTGGGTGGCCACCCTGAAGTAGTAATTTAATAAAATAATATTTCAGTTTATTGTGTTGAGTGTGAAAGGAAAACTGATAAAAGGCAGAATTTGAAATAAGCATCATTTTCAACAAAGTTTTAAAACTTCACTTACTTAATATTTGTTCATATAATAACAATGTTGGTCTATAACCATTTATAAAAAATTATATAAAGATTACATATTAAGGTAAAGTTATTGGAAAATTATATTACAATATTAGTAAAGGCTATAGGAAATGATATTTTTTATATAAATTTTGAATAAGTTTGCGCCTGACTTGACATAAAGGTAAGTCAGCCTTAATGCTTAGTTATCATAATTTGCACATGCATATTACACATAAATATTTGACATGAACTATGCAATAAGATAAAAAAAATCAAATTTTATTCCACAATTTTGAGTTTGTTCAGAAGAAGAAGCAAATGAATAAAAAATCATTAACCAATGACTGATAGTTAATTTAGAATTAGGTAAAAGGGAAGTTAGTTCAATCACAGATGTTCATAAATTAATTTTTTCTTTAAATTGCAGACTGAGTATCAGATTACTAAAGCAGTTATATCATTTCCCACTAATCACTTGTTTGCTACATCAAACAAAATAAATGGGCATCATAACCTCAAGAGGAAGAGGATGGATTGACAAATTGTTCCTGGATATAGTTCGTTGATATCACTTCAGTATGAACTCAGGGTGGTCACTCAAATCAGGTTTCAAATTGCCCTGATTTTTCCAGGCTTTCCAGTAAAAATCTTAAAATTTCCAGGTCGGCGTGCTTCCCCCCCCCCCCCNGGCGTGCTCCCCCCCCCCCTTATGAAGTCTAGGTGGGTACAAGAAAAGTTTTAATTTTATAAAGTATTTTATTTAAAATGTTATTTATTTGATATACCATTGAATAGATGCGGAGAAAATAATATGTTTAGCTTGTAGAATATATTGCTTTTAAGGAAATTTTTCTTTTCAAAGTGTTAAGTAGTTTTTGCACAAAATTGCAAATATAGAGTGACCCAAAACAAACCTTGGATAAGTACTGTTTAATGTAATTTCATTAAGCAAAAGAAAATAATTGCAGGTGATTATACATCAATAAATTTTTTTATTCATTTACATTTCAATTTAGAGCTATTTTATACTGCATTTTATCCAAACAGTGCAATAAAATCCATTGATATAATTTCCTTTAAACCAGTATCTAATCAAATGTTTAAATAATGTTGTTTGTTCTGTATTAGCACTATTATTTTAAGAGACATTCAGAATTCGCAAAAGGCAAAATTGTCAAATTTCTTGTGGCATGTTTTGTAGGAAAAACCAAGATAAAATTCTTAAATTTTATTCCTTTTTGTTTTGTTTTTATTTTTCTTATTAGAAATTAGAATATTTGAGGAATTCCAATCTAACTACATGGTTTCTTAGTTTAGATTAGGTAGCTGATTTTGATTTATAACTGGGAAGCCGAAAAATTTCAGTACATTAAAAAATCTATTGAAAAAATTTCACTGTACATTAAAATGAAAAAGAAAGCAACAATTTTTCACTGTATTATTAGCTTATAACAGTTTTTTTCCGGGAAAAAAAATAGTGCAGGAAAAATGATAATTTAATATAATTATTTATTGGCTGCATAAAATTAAATATGCGTTTTGCACAGCAGACGATATTAACCGATATACCATTTACTTGAATTTAGTGGCACAGTTAACAGTGAACAAGAAAGAGCACATGTCCCCAGTTGTAGCATTAGAGCTGCACCAAATTCATGAAGAAAAAAAAAATTAATATAAATTCTAGAATAAATTTTTATCTCTTTATAATACTCCTGTCGACAATTTCTGTTGCCAATTACAGGTTCAGTAACAACTAACTTTTTATACCATTTACCTAAAAATTGAATGGGATGTGTTATTTGTTATGCAAGTAATTTTATTATTATTTTCTTAACTCAATAAATAAATAACTACAGTACGTACTGACTTTTTTTCTCAAAATACATACATTTTTCAAGTTCTAAGAAAAATGATTGATTTAAAATGTTCTAAATGATTCTATCCATATTTGGCTTTCTTTTTATGAAGAAAAAAACAAAATAAGAGATGGAAACAAATAAAAATATATGTAATGAAAAGAAAAGCAGTGGTGTCTGACATGAAAATAATTAAATAATTTTACAATAAAAATAACACTTTACTATGAAAAAAAAAAAAACTTTGAACAGAAAAATAATTTAATTATATTAAATTTTAGTGGCACAGAACAATTAATTACGTATTTTGAGGTCGCACATAAAATATCAAAAGTGTATCTTGAGAATGATTTTTGTAAATAAATTTGAAATGTCTCTACAAGATAACCTGTTTTGTTACAGTTCACTTTTATTATTACTTTTTTAATTTTCTATTATTAATGTGACTCTTATGTAAAAAAAAAAACTGTACTTAGAGATTCACTTACCACGGTTAAAAATTTCAAATGATGTAGCCCTTCATTTAACAGCCTATAGCTTAAAAACTGATATTTATAAGTCAAACGTCATTATTTTAAAACTTCAATTTTTTACTTTGAAAATGATACCTTGTTTACTTAATATTAAGTTTAAAATTTTGGTCATCTGGTTGCCTAACTTAAAACATGTACCTGAACAGCGCAGAAAAAAAAAAAAAGTTTAGTTTTCCTTCCTTCTAATAAACAAATAAAAATAATTTCTTTCAAATTCTAAGTTTATACATCATTTAACATGTTTTCCATACATTCCTTGCTTATTTTCCAGCTTTTTAAGGTAAAAGGAGAAATAATTGGCATATATCATCTCTGGAATGTAAGCAACATTTATGAGCTTTTGACATTGTGATTAATAAACAATTCGAATTTTGAATCAAAAATCAAATATTTACCAACAAAACAGTAAAATTTAATGTTATGTTCAGTTGGTTCGTAAAAAAAGCTTCTTTTTGTTATAAAGGGATAAAAATGAAATTCAGAAAATTAGCATCAATGCAACAATTTTGCCATTAACGATTCAAGAAAATGAGTGATTGGTACGCTTTGCTAAGAAAAAATTATTCATTGGATGGCAGACTAAAAGCTTTCAGAAAAAGAGTGCAAAATAAAATCTATTAGTAAATTATAACCAATTATTTTTTGGAGAATTTTATAAAGTTAAAAAAACTAAAACATTTTGTTAACATAAAAAACACTCCCAAAGCATCGGAATTAACTTTAACAATAAATGAATTCAGCCCACGGACTAGAAAACAAAAAAAAACCTACTTATATAAACAGAAGACAATATCTTAACCCTTTCTTTCAACTCCACCACAATTTTTGCCTTTTTTAAACTGTGTAGTCTCATAATCTCCAAAGAGATCAAAGATTTCTCCATTCATTTAGCAACATGGGCGAGTTTCATATGGCAGTCTAGTTTAGCAGGATAACAATGGTGAGAATTTTAATGCAAGCAAAGTATTGCTAAGTTGATGATATTTCAACTGTTTGACAATAAATTTCCATCTAAATAAAGTGGATATAGCGGATGGCAAAATAATTTAAATTAAGAAAAAAATTCCAACTTTTCTTTAAAATTACCTGATTTTTCCAGTATAAAAAAATTCCCTGATAATTCCAGGTTTTCAAGGTGGGTGGCCACCCTGGAACTACAACTTAAGTATAGTTTGTCTACAGTAAGAACTTCCCCCGCCACAAAGTCTGAGGTCATCTGCTGCTATGGAAACAAGAATAGCACATTTCAGGGAGGGTACCTTCTTTTCACTCTATGGCTAACACAATAGACCAAAAAGAAAGACTCCCTTTTTCTAGCTGACCCCAGCCAAAACCTGTCCTAAACAATGACCTCACACTCCTTTTTGAAATAGTTATACCTCGTTACCATAGTCATTCCTACGGATCCAGACGAACGGCTAGAGGAGTTCTTACTTTAGACAAACTATTAGCAGAAGAATATTGTGACTTAACTTTTGGAAACATGCTACTATGAGATAACAAAAAGATGCTTCGTTATACTAAAATTGCTATTTTGTTTTAATGTCAACCTCCTAGTTAAACATTTATTGCATTACTGTTTTAATTGTCAAACATTGCATCCTGAATAATTTTGACATAATGATTGAATTTTCACTTACTGGTGACTGAATGTAAACAATAACAAGCTTCCTAAAATCGGAAGAAATTTAGAAGATTTTCGGTGTATCTCCCCGCTTAAGAGGCGATGTGTGAACAAGCTTATTATTCTAGGAAGTTTTATTTTTGTGATTTGTGTTTATGCTGTGATATTACTTTATTTATACTGTGACATTAATTTTATTAAATTTGTTTTAGGCTCACAACCAGTTAGAACTTGTAAACTACAATAAACTTTTATGAATAGTAAAATTATGCATAAATCTGAACACAATTCACAATAATAAAACTTCCTAGAACATTAAGCCTGTTCAAGCATCGCTTCGTAAGCATAACATAAGCAGAGGGATCGACGGAAGTTTTCTAAATTTTTTCCAGTTTTACTAAGCTTGTTATTGTTTACATTCAGTCAACCATCCATTAAACTCAAGATTAGAATAATTTTTATTTGAAAATGTACTTTTTTTTCTTCATTTGGTTACATTTAAAATAATTTTGCTTATTTTTAATTATATTTACATAAATGATACAAAAATTAAGTTACTTAAAATATTTTTTTCTTTTTAAAAAAACTCAAACTTATTTTGTTTAAAAAAAACATTTAGTTTAAACCGGCCAACCTAAAAACCTAGGTTAAAGATGTATAAGTTTCTTTTTCTTCTTCAGGGATAATTGCAGGTTCAACTCAAAAATCCCGAAAATTTCTTGAGAAAAATCATTAATGACACTTTTCAAAAAGTTAAAATCTTTTTAAATTTAAATCCTTGATATTTTCAAAACATGAAATTCTAAATAAATTATTTGCAGCATAATTTAAATGAATAATTATGGATAAGTTTACTTTTATCTCTATCACATTTGTTATTCTACCAGAGAAAAATATTTGCAAATGAAAGAGATGCCAAGTATAAATTCTAGTTCTAATATTTTTAAATAAAATATACAAGAATTTTTATATATAATTGTGATCGATGATTTCTTGAAACTGATTAACTTTGGGATCATCTCTGTTTCCTTCCCTGTAAGTACAGAAGTAGCAGTGTTGTGTTTTGGGAACTTTTTCCTGTCTCCCCTCTCAGCCAATGGCTGTTATCCAGCTCATTATGAAAGTTCAACCCCTGTTAATATGTTATATTCTAACAGGATTTTTCAGATATTAAGTAAACATTTTTAAAAAAAAATTTTTTTTTTAAAGAAAGAAATTATAATTTTTTAAAAAAAAATTATAAAAGAGTATAATTAAATGGACTCCATGTATAAAATTATTGGCATTAATTGGTAATCAAACATTAGCCAACATACTTACTTCATTAGTTAAATGTTTATTATTTTCAAAATCTCTCCTCACCCAACTTTTTAATTCAGCTTGATGTTCCTTATTAGGAATTCTTTTTATAGTTCTCAATATGTCTCTATATAGCTTCAAAGTTTTAGATCTTAGCAGAAACTAAAATAGAGAAGATTAGAAACTGCTAATTAATTTTTCAAAAATAAATACAGTATATATACATATACAGGATTGCCACTCAAATCTGGAAAAATAATTTCTTGTGCTTTCCCTGTACATATTATACACAATATATACAACACAAACACTGTGCTGTTTTGAGCTAACTATACTAGTTATAATTGTGGAAAAAAGGAACAGCTGAACATACTTAAAACAAATGCTATAGTAAATAAACTAATTTAATATAGCTGAAATATCTCGTAGATTGCACTTTGAATGCTTGCCATTTTTTAAAAGATGAAAATACAAAACAAAATTCCCTGCATTTCCCTGTTATTTTAGGGATTTTTAAATTCCCTCTACTTTTCAGGTTTTCCCCATTCTCACAGTGGAGTGGCAACCTGATATAGTTCAATAAAAATTTTTTTTTAAAAGCAACCTTTTAATTTAAAGAGAAATGAGTGTTCAAAACTAATTAATGGAAGCACTATTTAAATCCCTTCGATTAGTGTTATGACCTGGTGAAGCGATAGTGCTTGCATATATTTAGGATACATCAGAGGCGTAGGTACAGTTTACAGCATCTGGGGACAGTTTTTGGTAGGTACAGTTTTTGCGTCATCTCGTAATAAACTGCCAGTTTTAAAGGGGATTTCAAGCTTTAGATAATGTAAAAGCTGCAGTCAAACGCACTTGCACTGAAATATTAAATTTTACATTGAATAAAATTTTGAAACGAGTAAAGTTTTGAGTAATATTTTTTAAAATGTTAATCGATAAGATCATAAATTTTGATTTGATTTCCTTTTTAAAATTTAACAATGTATATTATAGTTTCTGTTACACCTAGGAATAGGGGGGGGGAACGTTTTTTTAAAAATTTGGTTCACACCTAGTTTTTTGGTTTATTTAACAGGGTTGCCACTCAAATCTGAAAAAAAAGTCCCTGTATATATTATACACACTATATTAAAAGGAAACACAGAATCACTGTGCAAATGAGCTATATTATGATAATCTAATCAAAGAATGAAACTAATTAATAAATTCAGAAGGTTTTTGACACGACAAGGGTATAATACTGGTTTAAACTGTCAAAAACTGAAGTTTGCCAAGAAAATATATGAACTTCAAAACTACCAACGGTTGCCATGCATTATATTGAAATTTAATTATACTGTAGGTAATCAGCAGGTTTTAAAATATTTTTTAATTGGCAACACTAATTTGTAACAGATTTAAAATCTCAGAAATTTATATTCAAATGCATGTGCAGAAAAATTTTGCACAAAATATTTTTAAATATTTATATTTTGAGAAAAAAAATTTTTTTTTTTGATACTTAAGAAAATTAAAAGTTTATTACTATGCATTTTTGACATATAAGGAACATATAACTAATATTTATAAGGAACTTACAAGTTATGTTGCATAAATACAAACTTGATACAAGTGTATAATTTTTTTTTTTTAATGTTATACTGAACATCTTTATTATCCAGTATGTTAATTTGAATTTAAAAATAGAAGAGCTAAAAATAGACAAAAATTCCCTGATTGTGAATGTTGCATGTGCCCAATTGTGAATGTTGCATGTGCCCAACCTGTTTAAAAGATTTTTCTTTAAAAGATGTCTGATGTACAAAACTGCTGTTTATCTTTAAAAATGTCTAATTTTTAGTATGATCTATACTATACACTAAATTTGGTTATAAATAAATTTCTAAATAATATCACTGCAGATTTTCAATAACACATGAAAATGAATACATAATATTACAAAAGATGTGAGCTTTCAAAAGTACAAGATTTTGGTTACTATTCAAAATATAAGTGTTTCTTCAAAATTTTAAATTTATTTTTTCTAGAACATATTTAGAAACACTATCCTTTATAAAAAATATATAAATTTTATGTATTAATTAAATTTCACATATGAATATAGGTTTTCGACGTGACGGTTTAAACCGTCAAAAACTGTCAAATGTCAAAAACCTTCCAACCCTGAAAAAGACAAAATAAGTAATTAAACAATAAATCAAAATAGTAAAGCACTTAAAACAGCTAAATCCAAATTTGTTTTATTTTAATTTATAAAGTCAGAAAAACAATTCAAAAACAAACCTGCTAACACACACATCTTAAAATATTTGTTTTTTGCTAGAATTGTTTTTCTGACTTTATAAACTTTATTATGATAACTAATACTAGTTTTAATTGCTGGAAAAACTTAGAGAAATCAAGAACAGTTTAACATACATAAAAAAGGAATAGTATAGTATAGCTGAACTATCTTTAAATATCCCATAGATCACACTTTGAGAGGTCAACATTGTGTAAAAGAAAAGAATAAGAAATAACTATTCCCTGTATTTTCCCAGTTTATTAGAAAAATTCAAAATTCCCGTCATTTTCTCCATTATTTTTAATCTCTGTATTTTCCAAGTTTTCCCTATTCATCATATACAGTGGCAACCCTGTTTAAAATAAAAGGTTGAATAATCATTTACGCACTAAATTAAAGGTATTTAAGCTATTATAAGGTCAAATCATTAAATTCTTTTAACTATTAATTAATATTATCAATAAACAATAAAAAATATCCACTTTTCTTCCATAAGCTAATAAAAAAGAATAACTTATAACTCAGGGTTGCAAATAAACCCACCTACCCAGTAAAACCCGGGCGGCTTTTACTGGGCAAAACCTACTCTGAAAAAAACTCACCCTAAAGTTGGTATTGATTAGTAAGAATATAAATACTGGGACTGATTAGTAAGAATATAAATAAAAAGTAATCTTGTGTTAAATTAAGTTTCAAATGTGTGATGTATGTGATTGCATATAACATTTTGCATTGTGATGTCAGAAGAAATTTTTTACAGGCTTTTGTACCAATTTATGTATATTAGTTAATAATTACATTTTAATTACCTATATGTTAAGTCGATTCATACAATTAAACTTAATTATTAATAGTAAATAAGCTTTTTAACAATAAGGTGCTTATCCCCTCTCTTTTAAAAAATCCCCCAATAAAACATGAAAAACCCACCTGTGTTGGACTTTTCTGGAAAAACCCGTGTTTCTTGCAACCCTGTTATAACTTATTGAATATGCTTGGACTTAACATTTTATCAGAGCTACGGCAAGGCCAAGCGCCGCCAACCTCTTAGCGACCTATTTAAAATATCGCTTTCAAATTAGTAAAGAGAATGCATAGAAATAAAAAGAAAACAAGTCCGAAATAAAATATAATAGAAAAAAAATTGGAAACATTTTATTCCCCTTTCCAACTCTTACCTTGGTTAATGTCAGTGTTTGTTTGGACGAAGCAGTCATTATTTCATTTCTAAATTTAAGATCTAAAAAATCGGTATAAAAAACAATAATAATTGTTGTTGATTACGACTTGAGTATAAAATAAAAAGAATCGTGATTTTAATGTAAAACCAATAAGAAATTTTATTTTAGAAAATAAGAGTTTTGAGTATGAAATGAATGAGTGACTGAACGTAAACAATAACAAGGATGTGCGAACAAGCTTGATATTCTAATAAGTTTGATTACTGTGATTTGAACTTAAATTTACGCGCAATTCAACCATTCATAAAAATCTTCTGCAATTTATAAAATCTAACTTGTAAGTCTTAAATAAGTTTATGAAAACTAATATCACAACATAAATAAAGCGTAAGGTTTGCCGGAAGCTGTATAAACCTCTATGGTAAAAACCCGGAAATTTTGCTAAGAATACTAACCCTTAGCGCCACCTTTACACGGTCAACCATTCATATTTTCGACTGTGATGTCTGGCAACAACTAAATTCAAAAGCGGTACATTCATGGTATGAAGTGAAGGCGCACTAGTTTCGAGATGTCTGGAAGTGTTATTTTTTCCAGTCAGTTGTGTAAACAAGTTAATATTTTAAAATGTGGATTCCGTCATCTGACTTCAAATTTAAGTAATAATGAAATTTAGAATAATGAACACATTTTTTTTCTGCTAACGCGATTCCAAAATTAAATTATGTTATTAAATTCGATTGTTTATATATTTATGTTTATATTTTTCATGTTTATATATTAGATTAGTTCAGCTTGATTAAATGTGGAGAAATAACTAACAATTTGTATATAAAATACTAATAGTAAATATAAATAAATCATTTATAATTTATATCGTAATTTTCGAAATCAATTCATCCATAAATTTTGTCTCAAATTACTTTTGTTATTTTGACTAAAGAATAAAAAAATTCTTTTGTTTGTAAATTAATTAGATATTTAATAAATGACTTAATTTCAAGGGTAGAAATCAAGCTCAAAGGACCAGAAACTGGACCATAAAAGATATCACAATAGTGCGTTTACGGAAAGATAGATCGAAAGTTAACTAATAGGTCGCCAGAATCTTGATCAGGCTTGCGACTTTTGCGATTTTCTCTGCATTTTTTATTTTACAGAATTATGATAAAAGTGAATAACAGAGGAGTCGTGCTGTTTGTTATAAATGCATGATTGGTTCACAATACAATGAAACTACATTTTTTAATTAACTAAATACAATTAAACATTGAATTTTTATTTTTAAGTATTGAAGCAGTTTCTTGTAAACTGATTATATTATTATGCTTGCTAACAAAACTTCTATGATACGAAAAAAATTAGTTAAATTATATTGTAAAATTCTGCCATGAATATTATTGGTTAATGATACAGCAACATATTAAAGGTGTAATAAAAATACTATGAGTAAATTTTAATATAAATAGCAATGACCAATTATTTTATATATATAAATAACTGATTTTTAATAAAAAATTAAAGCAAAAAAAAGTGTAAGATAAAGTACTTATCTTAATCACCGAGTGAACTTGAATTGCTGTTGACTCCTACTTGATTAATAATTGTCTTTATAGTATTTTTTATTGCATCTTCTAATTCCCACACATGATTTTCTATTTGTTTAACATGTTCTATGCAATTATTCCACTCTGTTGGTAAAACATCACTTATTTATTTTTTTACACAGTTTTTCTACATCACCTAACGTGAAAGTTTTGTTCTCTTTAGATACAAAATACTTGTGTCCAAATTAACTGGATCGGATTAAGTATAGTCGGACCCCAATTTAACGAATTCATAGGTACCGAAAATATTATTTACCAAGTCGGGGAAAATTCGTAATATGGAGGGCAAAATTAAAAAAAAGTTGACTAACCTTATGGAATATTCAAACATCATTAAGGAAATACACAATATGAATAGAAGTCTTACACTTTTTATTCAGGAACTTAAAATACAGCGAATGATTACACGTTGATTAATTTGAAATTTTAAAGCATTTTGTGAGTAATGCTTTCTTATTTCCTTCTTTTTTGACGTCATGAAGAAAAGGAAATACTCCTTCATTTACATCTTGCTGCATTAGGTAAGTGTTCACTGTTTCCAAACCATGCAAAGCATCAGAAAAAGTAGCAGTTTTCACTGAAGAGTCATTATCGACTTTTGTGCCAGACTCGCTAGTCATTGTTTCCTATAAATCTACTTCATTAACTTCGTAAAATTTGTTAAATCGCGAAATTAGGTAAATAGGGGCTCGCTAAACCGGGGTTTGACTGTAATCTTAAACTTGTTTTGTAATGAATATTGGCAATTCCAGCCATATCAAATTTATTGTATTTATGGTTGTTTTCTTTCACTATTGCCATCAATTCAGTCTTTAATCCTCTTCTTTCTACATCCCTTCGCCAATAATAATAGTTTTAGCTTTAAGCCAGTCTATTATTTATTTGATTTTTAGCCTTTGGTCCTGATTTTTTTTATTTGTTCAGAACTTGAAATTTCAATGAGCATGGGATTTTAAAGGAATTATAAGAATTTTTTATTAATTACTTTCACTAGACAAGAATTAGGAAAAGCTAGATTTCTCTATGTCAGAGCCCCTGTAACATGTTAAAAATCAAATTAAAAAACTTCACATGCATAAAATAAAGCATTTTCAAGTTATGCAATAATTTTTACAAACATATTTTTATTACCCCATAAACTCAGCAAACATAATAAAGTATTTTTAAAGTATGCATAATTTAAAAAAATTATGAGATGCTAACTAGTTGCAATCCTCAATTAAAAAAGTAATTTTATAAACTGAGAATCTACTTAAAATAATTAAATTTAAAAATCATAAGGGTATAAAAAATAAAAAAAATCCAAAAAGTATGAATTATTTCGTCAAACTAAAATCAGTTATTAAAACATCTTTCAATGCACATGAGACATAACCAGTTTAAAAGTTGCGGTCCCATAGTGCTGTGTAATTATTAACTCTTTCAATTATTGCTCTATATAACTAATAAATACTGAACAGAGTTGGTGGTGGTCAAGCATATTTAGAGACATTATGAGTATGACTTAACATAAAAATTAAAGTAACATTAACGTTAAATTCTTGAAATTAAAGTATAAAGCTATTCAGTGTACTGCAATTTCATAATAATACATCATAATATAAGAAAAAAAATATTACTTGAATATTTCTATAGGGATATGCAAAGTAGGTAAGACACCAAAAAATTAAATTTTACCTAATGTTATATTTATTTAAGTATTATTATTATTTTTATATACTAACCTTCAGTTCTGTATACTCACTGAATTTTTTAAAATTTTTTATGTTTTGTTTAGTTTGAAACAAAATTCAAAACAGATGAAGCAGAAAAATTGGATAATGAATAATATTTATATAATCTATTTATAAATAGATGTTTAAATTTTTATAAGGCACAGTGGATGTGCAGTTATAGAATTGTGTTGCATAAACTATTATAGTGCAACTGGGGTCATACTAAAGCAAAAATTTGAGTTTTATATTAACAGAAAGACTTTTTCCATATTGAGTTTTAAATTCATTTAACATTCTTTACAAAACTTGATCATAAGAAAAATACTGGAGTTTGATGATCTCTTCTAGGAGTAGGGGGATGATTTCTCTTTCAGCATCACTTCCTCTTTATTTAAACTGTATTAAAAATGCTTTGATTGTTCTGCGTTTTACTAATGCAGTTTTTAGCACTTTCTTTTTTAGGGATTTACATGTGCCATATTACTAAAAATTTTGGCAATAATGTTTTTGCATATACGGCAAGGAACAAGCAGATATGTTGGCCAAGAAGGGCACTCAAGTAATTCAACAGCCAAGCGCTTCTAGCGCTTTCTATTCCACAAAACTTAATATCAAAAATCTAATAAGATAAAAGCCTTGCTCACTTCTCATGTTTCTTCAAGAAGTTGGAGGAATAGCTTAGACCAAAATATTTCAGATAAGCCCCATGGAAGGGCTGTTGTGGAATTCAGACTTGCGATAGGCCATGACTACCTTCAGTGAATTGGCATTTTCACAAGTCCTAATTGCCCACTCTGTGAAAAAAACAAAATCATGGACATTAGCTGGGATGCGCAGCTCTGCATGAGAGCTCTCAGTTGAAGCAATATTGCAGCGCTCAACATCTGCTGATGGGACTTTTTTCTCTTATTGTGTTCTTTTTAATTCCATTTCTTTGTTAATCTTATAAGAGCTTGCCATTTTCCTTTGCCATTGGATATAAATAAATAAAAATAACTATTTTGGTAAATTGTTTATTTGGTAAAGTTTAAACACTTGAGTGTCTCACATTTATTTTGTTGAACATATTTTTAGGAAGATTTGCATCTCAATCTTCTTCAGTAGGCTTTATTGGATTAGGCAATATGGGCCAAAATATGGCTAGAAGTCTTCTAGATAAAGGCCACTCTTTAGTAGTTTATGATGTATTCCCTGAAGCTATGTCTCAATTGTTAGATGCTGGTGCTCTAATAGCTCAAAATCCCTCTGAAGTAGCTGAAAGATGTAGTACAATTATCACAATGCTTCCTTCTAGTCCTCATGTTCAAGATGTATACACTTCAGAAAATGGTATTTTTCAGTGAGTATCAATTTCATTATCAGAATATTTTGCTTTGATATATAAATATATCTTATATATGCATGTAAAAAAAAGGAGAGAAACTCAAAACTGTTATTTAAATTTTATGAAAAAAAATGTATGGGTGTTTGACTGAATGTAAACGATAACAAGCTTCCTCAGAAATTTAGATAACTTCCTGTGTATCCCTCCACTTATGTTTTGCTTTCTAGGCCCTTTCTGATTATTCTACAATGTTTTATTATTGTGTTTCAATTTATGCATAATTTTACCATTCATAAAAGTTTTCTGTAATTTATATATTCTAGCAGATCATGAGCCTAAAACAAAATTAACATCCCAGCATAAAAAAAAGTGTATGGTTAGCCATGTTTTGAGGGGTATCCCTTATTTATATCCTATCATAGCAAGCTTGGAGAGTCTTCCGATTTCATTTGCTGTTTACTTTGTTGAAAGTTAGATTGAAAGAACGTGTTATGTTGAAAACATTAAAAGTATAATTATATTGAAGTTCGTTTTTTCAAGCTTAGGATAAAAATCAGCCGTAAGTAGTAACCTGGAAGTCTTATGACGCCTCATAGCGCCATCTGTGCTTAGCTTTACCTGGTCAACCATCTATATTGAAAGGGAAAAATAATGTCATTCTTTAAGTAATTTATTTCAGTTATTGAAAGCTGGAAATTGATCATAAATTTGGTTCATGCATTTGTTTCTGCAAATAGGCTATTTGCAGGTAGTAATAAGATGAAAATGTTAGAAATTTTTAATAGTAAGATATGGTAGAAGGTACTAAACAAAGTAAACATAACAGTCTTGCTAAATATTTAAAAAAAAAAAGATACTGAAATTGTTATAAGTTTTTATTAAATTTAGGGAATGATAACTTAGTGTGAGAATAATAATTTTAGTTATGAACATGTTTAAAATAATAATTTTAATGAAAAAACTAGTCTTTAAAACGATTAGAATTGATGCCTCTCAACAGTGTAATTTTCTCAAAATGAGGGTATGGTAATAGTTAGGGAATGAGAAAATAACAATTTCCTTTTGAAGTTTACACTTACAAATAAAATTAAAATGACATTTTCTGTTCCTTAACTATCCCATTAGAGGAAATTAAGACACTAATCAATACATTTTTAGAAAATAAATTCACTTCATAAATTTAAATGCGGTAATGAGAGTGTCATCTTGCTACTTATCCACTTTGTTTTTTCTTATTAATACACACTGAATAACTTCTCCCAATTTATTGTAATTTTTTTTAGCAGTTTCATGTGTACTGTGTCTCCCCAAATAATAATGCCATCAATCTGAAACATTTTTGCTAAGTAAACACACCCATTTAAAAACTAGAAAATAAACATAGAAAGAACACTACAAGGGGTAATTTTAAAGCATGAAAGTAGAACAAGAAAATAGGTATTTCAGTGAGAAATATGGCTTTTTGAGTTTGTAGCTGGTAAGAATTACAAATGAGAGAATGAGATTTCATGGGTTTAAAACTTATTAAAAAATATTTATTTCAAATAATACTTCGAACTTATGAGACAATGTAATAAAAACATCTTCACACTACATATTGAACAAATAAGTAATTTATTTTTAGATAGAAGAAACTGAAATATCTTTCATTTATATCATTTTAGCTTATTTGCATAGAATTACACAATAGTAAAAGGAGAAAAAATGTCAACAATTTGTTCGCTCTTTATTTAATATGTTTTTCTAGGATGTTGGCGTCAGTTTGTGTTTTCATCCTTTTTTTATTGTTGTTTTTCCTTTTTCTTTATTTAGCTCACATTTAAGGTATTACTTTAGCCCTGGTTGTTACTTCTTTTAGTGTTTATTTTTGAATTTCTTGACTATTATTGTTTTCAATCTTTTTTTTTAAATTTGTTTTTATAACTATTAATTGCATAGCTTATTTTTATTGTTAGCTTATATTTCTTTTTGTAAGTTAATATTTTGCTTGATTCCTTTTGTTAATTAAAAATTTTAATTGTAATTTAGTTTCCTATTTATTTTAAGATTGTCAGAGACAGAACTATCGCCGTCAAAAATGTTCATGTCGTTAAAGTGTGGATAGATTATAAGAAGAATATACAGTGCAACCTCGAAAGTCCAGACTGCTCGGGGGTGCAGATGGTCCGGATTTCCAAAATTTCCGAATTTTAGATACCTTACTTAAATTGATAGAATTATTGAAGTTTTGGATTCGCTCGGCCAATTACGTGATTGAACGCGCATGTGTAGACCTCCTTTTTTTAAAAATTGATTTGGAACATTTTTTCTGACGAACTAGACATAAGAATCCGGATTTCCGAGGTCATACTGTATATATATATATATACTTTCCTTCAGTTTAAACTTTACTCATAATAAAAAAAGCATTATAATTTTTACTATATCATTTCTAAAATTTGGCAGCAACCTTTTTGTATGAAGGGGCCACTTGCACACCTTGTAGATTAATGAATTGCCACACTCATATTTGGTCATGTTAGTGGCAAATGTAATAATTTATATATATATATATACAGTCGAACTCGTTTATAACGAGCTCGGATTTAACGAGAACTCGGATTTACCGNACAGTGAACTCTCGCTACTACGATATCCAATACAATAACTTCCTTTATTACGATAATGTTTTGTGGTCCCGACAAACTTGCATATAAATTAATGTCATGCTTCTCTCAATATTACGATATTCTCTGGAGCAATAAACCCCTGTAAAACGATTTTTTTCTTCCAAATTTCAACCTTATTTAATTCATTTATTATAGGTTTTCAAATAATGTACAAAATCTTATTTTATCATCTTTTGCTATTTTTTCCATCTTTTCTGACAAGAGAAGACTCACTGCTGACTACCCCAAGAGCTTCGTTCTTAGAATTGCTCCCTTATCTCTTAAGAAGTCACAGATGTAACATTTCTGTATGATTTCTTTTACTTCATGCTAAAAGCTGATCGTGAGTCACAAATGACCACAAGTATCACATTAACATCTGAAAGAGAATTTTTTCCTTAGGGGGAGGGTGGAGCACCATTCACAAACGAAAATCATTTTCGTACTTTGAACTAACCATATGCATACTTTGTTGGTTGACTTAACAGTCATAAGAATGAATAAACAAACAAAAATATCAGATTATTTTCAATAAAAACTGTTTTCAGCTATGTTTGCGATCTTATTTTATTAAAATTGTTTTTTATATTTAACCTATCTGCAAATTAATATATACATTTATAGTTAATACATATATAACATTAAAATTGAAAAAAATCTTTATTGTGTCCCCAAAGTATGCAGGCCCTTGATATAACAATATATCCCTCTACAGCAATATATTTATTTGGTCCCAAAAATATGGTTGTAGCGAGGTTTTACTGTATAAACATATGTATACACATAAATATTGTGGAGGATATAGGTTCTGAGCAAAGAAACCACAAAATGTAGACCTTAAAGAATGAAAGTGCAAAAAAAATAAATATATATATATACATTTTATAGAGTAATATAAATTTGAATTAAATATTTTTGTTAAAAAAAGTTTAAAATGTTTAAACAAAAAGAAAAATTAAAGCAAATCCATTATAGTACAAAATAAAATTCAATATTTAGTATTATTTTTCTGATAATATTTCTATTTTTTGAGCAATTAGAGGTTTTAAGAATTTTAATAGAAAACACATGTATATATATATGCAGTCGAATTTCTATTTAACGAACTTCCATTTTGCGAATTTCTCTATTTTGTGAATTTTTTCGAGGAACCAAGAACATTTTGGAAATTTTTTCGTAAAATAATTTCCATATAGCGAAGTGAATTTTTTATTTAACGAACTTTTCATTGATATCCACTTTCCCTATTTTCCAACGTATTTCAGAACATTTCACACTTGTTAATGCATTTTATGGGGGAAATGACCTTGAATTAATTTTTGAAGCCACTGCTTTACGTAATGTTTTACTGCTTCTCTAAAAGCTATTTTAGAGAAAGCAGTAAAATCCCTTTCCCATGTTGTTTGAAATTTCAAAAGAACAACTCAGTACTAATTAACAGATTTTATCAGTAGCAATTACTTAAGAACGCATTTGGTAATTTATGTTTAAAATTTCTTTTATAATATATGCAGCTATAATAATAACATAAATTTAGCATTTTTTTTTTTAGTTGAAAATGTATGTAGCATGATAGTGTAAGATTGGATAATGTTTTGCTCTATTCCTTGTTTCCATGCAAATTTCTTTTATGGTTAAGATTTATAAAATAAATAGTAGATACTAGTTTGCAAGATAAAGGTGCATAAATTACTATTTTAACTGTGCCTAAAGTTGATGAATTTAAAATCTGTTTTGCATTTAAGTGTTTTACTATTTAACGAATTTTCCATATAACGATAACGAACTTATTATCGGGATTTATCGACATGTTAAATAGAGGTCTGACTGTATATATCACAATGAAGACAAAAGAGAAAAATAAAGAAAACTAAGAACATTAATAAATTTTATTTACTGAGCAAAAGCTGCAGATATATACAGTGTATCCGCGCACCTGGAAATTTATGGAAAGTCATGGATTTCGGTTGCCGAAAAATCTAATTTTTAAAATGGAATTTACCCTCCCTCCCTTGTAGCAAAACCCCCACGTACAGTCACAATTTATTAAAGTATAAAATTTTTTTTATGGTGTTCCTTAAAAATTATGGTGTTCTTTCAAAAAATGAAAGGAAGTTAACATCAATTCTAGAGCAAATTATCTTTTAAACTTCTGTGATTTCAGAATTTTATCTATTTATTTATTATAAATTTTTATTTTATCAATTTAAAATTCTAGCTGAAGAAAGCCAGTCATTAGCAAATTTTTTTTATTCTGAAATGAGAACAGAAAAATCACTGGTATTTCTTTTCTTTCCATTGAACATGAAAAGTATCTTTAGAACATAATTTTGCAGAAAAAAAAGAGAAATTTTTTTTCTGCTTTTGTATTTTTTTCAGCTATTTTATTGCTCCAACTCTCTCTTTATTCTGTTTTTTAAATTTAAAATCTATAAATATGAAGATGCAGAGTCTAACAGTTTTGGTTATACCTATCATTTCAATTAATGTTATTATAATGCTTTTTTAAATTTATTGTCGGAGAAAATAATAACTTCGTTAAGTTATGAAAAATTCTTGGCATTAGTCATGAAAAGTCATGGATTTGAAAATCTAAATCTAAAATGTAGCAGATACCCTGTATATAGAACTCATAAAATAAGTTAAAAGCATAGAGAAAACATGGAAAAAGTTAAAGATTAATGAAAAGGGCAGGAAAAAAAATATTGAAGTAAAATATTTGAAAACAAAAAAAAAAAAAAAAAATTAAAATATTTNATAAAAAATGAAAAGACATAATCTCTTCATCAGCACACGCAATTATATCCACAAAAAGTAGTGCTTTCGAATATTGTATCAATATAGCCAAAGAAAAATATAAATTTTTGAGATTACACGATTACCGCCATTACACGACTATTGCAAAAAATTATATATTTTGCTTTAACTATATTGATACAATATTCAAAAGCACTCCTTTTTGCGAATGTAATCGTGTGAGCTGATAAAGAGATTATATTTTTTAGTTTTCTGGCTTTTTTAAGCTTTTTTAATATTTTTAAAAATTTTTTTAAAAATATTTTATTTTAAAAATTTTTTTCCTTCTCTTTTCATTAATCTTAAATTTTTCCATGTTTTCTTTATGTTTCTTAACTTATATATATATATATATATATATATATATTATCTTACAATGATGGAAGAGACTTTTTCAGATTATGATGTTGCGTATAATTTCTCAAAACGCACTCATAGAATTTTTTTATAACTTAAGAAATGTTTAGATCATACGATTTTGCATACTTATTATTATTCATTAAAAAAATCACAAGATATCAGTATTTAAAGTTTTGATGTCCTTTTGTACTGTGCACGTGTAGGTAACATTTAAAATATTGCTTTAATAATTTTGTCATGACTTGTGTTTGGTAACTTATGAAAAAAATCAATTTAAATATCTTGAAAATTTAAAAATTTCTAACATTTTTCTGAGTACTTTTTAAGTAAGAGTAATTAGTGAGTACTAAGTAAGATTTTGTTTAATCCTATTGAACATTTTTACAGTTATAGTAAATAACTATAAGGCGATTTCTTTCATATATAATATTTTTCATATCAATGAATATTTAAGAATGCTTTGCAAAATTTTATTCAGTTATTTCATATGAAAACCAAATTTTTACAAGTGTATTGTTATATTTTCTGGCATGGGGTATTCAAAAAAACTCTTTTGTTCATAATTTATTGCCTGTTCCTCAAATATCTGAAAGCTTTATTGATAAGTATATGAAATTGCAAGACTCTAAAATTATAAAATGATTTACTAGTATTTCGTGAGAAATGAGAAGAAAATGTCAGAAACTGAAAGTATCTTTTCCATTTTTGCGTGGGAATGTATTAATTGAATGATATAAATTTTATCATGAATCATGATAAATTTTTTTTTCATTTCTTTAGACAAGTCAAACCAGATACTATTCTGATTGATAGTAGTACAATTGATCCATCTGTTACGAGAGAATTAGCTATTATGGCAGAAAAACGAAGAGCTTTATTCTTTGATGCTCCTGTTTCGGGAGGTAGAATTCTATTGCTTTTTATTAATTTTTTTATCATTTTTTTCCTATTCTCACTAACAATTAACAGGGTATCTGTGTATCTAGAAAGTCATTGAAAATCATGGATTTTGACCTTGATCGAAATTTGTCATGGAAAGTCATGATTTTCAGTGATAAATACTGAAGATTCATGGAAACTCACTGTTCATCATGGATTTTTGGCTATTAAAGCCCTTCATAAACTTAAAAGATTTGAAAATACTGCATTGCAATTTGTATTCACTTGCAAAGCCTCCTCTAGAAATGTGGGGGCCCGCGGTTTTATATGTAGTTATATTAAAATTATATTTGTTATATTGAAGCAACAAATTAACTCAAGTAAAAGGTTTTAGGTCTGATAAATATTAAAAGTTTTAGCAAAACCTAATTTTAAAAATGATTTCATTTTGGAAAATTTTGAAGTTAATAATTTTTGTTTAATCTTTAAAATGTTTTTATTTTGATTTATATCTATATAGTAATTTCATAGTGCAAGGAATGATGTTGATATTGTTGTTTCTTTAAAATTAAATTAACATAATCTGTAGAATTTACCTTAAAAGGCATTGTAAAATATTTTTAAACCCATATTCTAAATTTTATGTTTGTTACCACAAATTGTTTTCTTTTGCAGTTTGTGTAATAGTTCATTTTTTTATTGCTTTGGTTTAATCTGATATATTAAAAAAGTGTGTGAAGCATTGCTCTGATAAAACATTTTTTAAAAGAAAGTTATACTCGTGGGTTTAGAGATCTTCTTTCGACTTTATTGAGTATTAATGTATTTACCTGTGCTGGTCATGGAAAATGTTTGATAGAAGACAAGGAAAGTCATGGATTTAAGAACTCTAGATGTAGCAGATATCCTGTAATTAAATGCATAGTTTGTTTTTAAAATTAAATTCTATATTTTTAAATTCTTCTTTCAAATTTTCCTATAATGAATACTATAATTTCTTGTGTATTATCTATGAATTATGAGTTTAAAAAATGATGAGGGGGCTTTGTGCTTATTATGCACCGTTTTCTTTCTCCCTGTGCTCATTTCTAGTTGTCTATTTTCATAGGAGATGGTGCCATGTAAAAAAAATGTCAAAAAGTTGAAAATTTCAAGAAGAAAATAAATCAACAGCAAATTTGACAAAGTAAATTCATATTTGTAAAATTATTTTTATTCTAACTTTGAATTATTAAATGTGATAAAGTAGTACTTTTTCGCAAGCAATTTTAGAACTTGCACTCTTCGTTGATGGTATAACCAATCAAAAAAAAAAAAAGAAAGATACAATTTAATTACATCGCATGGCCGGAAAAGATCTCTGATTTTCTATTCACAAAATTATTTATTTTGATTAAGTATTAACTTGGATCGAATTTTTAAATGTGACAAAATAAACGTTATTTTAACAAATTATTTTAAAACTCTTTTATTTCATGGAATCGTCTATTCATGTGAGAAAATTAAATAAACTTAAGCAAACTGCAACGTCAGAAATGGTTCCTGGGTTCGTATTCACAGAATTATTTTTACCCTCAAAATATTATTAATAGACATCTATTACATGGTGTGTAGTGTTTTTAAAAGGTGCTTATTTTTGATTTTTTTTAAAGCCCTTAAAGATGCTTTTTTTAACTTTTCAAAAGTCTTTGATTTTTTCCTTTTCAAAAATGAGCTATTTTTTCTTACCACGTCGATTTTCACCATGTATTATGCAAAAGTGTGGTTTTCACATCCAACGTTTTCACAATTCATTCAAACAATGCATTACCGCGTACCGTCAGTCCATAGTGTATGAAGCGCAAATCATTTCACATGTTTGATGAAATACTTGTGGATCCGCATGTGCGTATACTTAACTGGGTTTGTTGAGATTTTTGTTGTCTCATGTGCAACTCTTCTGCATTTTGCAAGATATTCTCAATTTCAGGTTTCATTTTCCACCTTGTGAAATCGAACTGAAAAATTTCTCAATCTTTTTATGGTGGTTAAATAATACAAGTTAAAATATTTTATGAGGAATTTAATTTTCCACGGAATGAAAGTATTGAAGTCCTCATTCCTCCCTCTGAAGTTTCTCTAAAAATCATTTCCTTGGGATAAAACTGGTTGACCTTTATAATCAGGGATGAGATTTTTTCGCTTTTGTCTCTCGAATTTCATCCTTTTTATCAAAAACTCTGATTCTTTAAAAGTTTCGGCTTTTTTTTTATAAATATCTCGCTTTTTTTTAAAAAAATTCAGTCGTTGAAGCTAAACCTTATGCATTTTTACTTATTTTTGCCGTTTTCTCTTTTACGCGCAGAAAATAAGATTTTCCGTATTTTTATCCGTTCGCTGGATAGCTCGTATTTTCGTAATTCAGACGTCGCTACTTCTTTTTTCTGGCGTGAAAGCACACGAAAAAAAATAGGCGAATTTGCGGTGGATTAAATTTTTAAAATCGCGATTTTATTATCAAACATCGATTTTCGTATTCACCTGATTTAAAGGTTGAACGTTGTGATTCTTATTCAGGCGATTTAAATATTGCACATTGCGATTCTTATTTACGAGATTTAAAAATCCAATATCGCAATTTGTATTTCGCGCTTTTAAAACCCTATGTAGCGATTCATATTCTCGCGAGCTTAAAATCCAATGTCTTGATTCGTTTCTGCGGTTATAATATCAAACATCGATTTTTGTATTTATATGTGCTTTAAAAATTAAGCATGGGATTCGTATTCGGGCGATTTAAAAATCATGAATTGTGATTCATATTTATGTGATCTAAAAATTACGCATCATGATTTGAATTTTCACATTTTTAAATTCGATATCGAGTTTCATATTCACGTGATTTAAAAGCCTCATATCGGGATTCATATTATCTTAATTTAAAATCATGCATGTGATTCATATTCATACAACTTTAAAATTAATTATCAGGATTTATATTCACATGGCTTACAAGTTTAAAAATCTAACTTTTTTTGTCAAATTTGTGTGTGTGTGTATATATATATATACACACAGTGTAAAGTTGCGTATGCGGAATCGGTGGGACTTCCAGAAGTTCGTATAATAGGTTTTTCCGTATAATAGACCCCCAAGGTAAACAAAGCTTAAAATGATTTAATAAACGATCTGAATCTAAGAAGCAAAAAATAAATAAACGTTATTTTTAAGGGGAACAATGTTTTAGCATTAGAATATCTAAATCAAATATAAAATATTAGAAAAAAAATATTATTGCTGAAAATATGGAAAACGAAAAAAATTTAACAGTTATGAAAATATTAATCCGCCATTTTGAACAAGAACGATTCAAGCAGGAAGGGGAAATTCATGTCATTCTGGAACAAAGCTTAAAATGATCTAAATCTAAGAAGCAAAAAATAAATAAACATTAATTTTAAGGGGAATAATGTTTTAGTATTAGAATATCTAATCAATAAAATATGAAATATTAGAAAAAAAATATTATTGCTTAAAATATAGAAAACGAAAAAAAATTGACATATGAAAATAATAATCCGCCATTTTTAACTAGAATGATTCAAGCAAGAAAGGGAAATTCCCGTCATTCATTAAAGTGGGTAGGTGGAGGAGAAAAATTCATTTCCTCCTTATTTGTGAAAGAAAATAAGTGTAAAGAGGAGATCATTTAAGTTGAGGGTGGGGAAGTAACAAATTATTGTTTTCTCTCCAATCATTGGCTATCAATCAAGCATAAAGGCGGGGCACGCTGATCGGGTTCTCTTTATTTTTTCTTCTATGACTGAAAGAATCTGCTAAAGAGAGAATGTTACCCCCTTTTTCCCCCGCCTCCTAAATATTACATGGTATGGGGAAGAACGAATGTTTTGTTTCTCAAGGACATATATCCTTTTAGACCTATTCAAATTTTCCATTTTGACTCCCCCTCCACCTTAACGCTTGTCCCGTTTACCCTTTTCCGCAGTATTTCTTCTTTCAATAAAAAGGTTCCAGGAAATGCCTCTTTTACTAGCCACCTGCATGGGAAAGGAGGGGGGAGGGGACTCAGTTGTGATCTTTTGAAAACAAATCTCCCTCTTTTTCCTACATTCCAAGGGAGGAGCGTCACTAACGGTCACTCAATGGTCTTAGTAGATCTTCACTTCCCCTTTCTGGTGATTTATGGGTTCGATGCGGAAAAGAAAAATGTGTCAAAAGACTTCTTTTTTTTTTTTTAAAGGAAAGGGGATGATGGAGAGATGTTTGTTTATTTTGATTGTTAAAAAGTGTCCGGGAAATCGACTCTTCCGAGAAAGGGACGTCCGGATATGGGACGTTACACTGTATATATATATATATATATATATTCATTCTTGGATTTTCTCTTTTTTACTTTTTGGCTATGTATCCTGTATTATAAAGTATTGTTTGCAAACACTATGAGCAATGTATAAAGACAATGAAAATATTTGTGAAATCCGAATTGTGATTGTCAAAATTCAGTGATAACCTTCCTATTATTTATTTATTGGTTTACCAAGCATATTATTTGCATATTGTTGTGGCAACATTTTATTTACTTTCACTTAGCTCCTCATTTGATTCTTGGATCAAACAATTTATACGATTCGAGTGAATAAGGGAAACTTTCCATATGCTAAATTGTAACAATTGTTGTTGTGTCCTTTCTGCACTGAAGGTATAGTGCAGGAGTTTTGAATGCATGCCAGTTTTGAAAATTTTTACTTCTGCACAAAGCAAGTGATATTTCTTAATTTCAATATTTCAGTTTTTTTTTTGAAGTTTCTCTTTAGGTTAAGTTTGTAGATTATCTTGGATTTTCTAACTTATTTTAAAGCAAATAATTTACCACTATTGTTTCAATCATTTGGATCTTAATCAACCACTCTCTTTCTTTTTGTTTCTTATCTTTATCCCAAAGGAGGCCTTGCACAATTGTCAGCAAAGAACAATCTTACGTAAAGAACCTTTATACAATCTTTGTTTTCATTTGAAATATTATTATAAGCTATTGTGTCTTCTGTGGGGTAACTACCTCTACAATTATTAAATATCAATTCACTACTATATGAGAAATGCTAACTCGTTTCAGTGTAGAGATATCTTTTGATAGGTGATGGTTGACATTCTCAAAAGCTCTTTCCCCACATTGGTGACCTGCGGATGTGATATGAACTCGGCCACACCAGAAGTTAGGCTCACTTCGATGAATGTCTCACATTGAACAGATGACGTTATTTGTGACTGCTTCGTTCTCCTCGCGTTGTTGCTTCTCAGTCTCATTAACACATAACGGGATCTTGCACACTCTTGACTGCTAATAACAACTCAGGAGAAACCACTCACACAACCGTTTTGTGAATACAACTCTCACGACAAGCGCTCAAAATCCGGTGAACTTAACACTGCTCTCCCGATCTTTCGCAAATATGGCAACTAGTGGTATCCTCCGTTCATGGAATTCTATGTTTGATAAAATTCTGATGGGGGAGAACCATTACTACCTCTACATTTATTAAATAACAAATCACTAGTATACCAGACATGCTTACTCGATTCAGTCTTGTGGTACCTTTTGATAGCATTGTTGATTTCTACTGTCCCTTACATCTTTTAAAAAGAAACTCATCATTTACATTGCTGATTTCAAATTAAAAGTAATGGGGAAGAAATCAGGTTGATTGTTTCATATTCAAGAATCAAATATAAGAGTGTGGAAAAAAAATAAAATCAAACTTTCAAATGGATTAGTTCGGTCGTTGCTTCTCAGTCTCAATAGCACAGAGCATCAGCCTGTATACACACGGCTGCTAATGGCTACACAAAAGCGACCGCGACTGTGAACTTAATACAGATCTCACGATCAGCATTTAAAAGAACAGTGATCTTAATACAGCTCTCTCGGTTTCTCACAAAACATCAATGAAACAACTAGTGGTATTCGTTCCTCGAATTCTGTCACAGATATAATTCTGATGGGGAAGTACTGCTTCTACCACTACAAAAATACAATTCCAATTCACTAGTATATAAGACATGTTAACTTGATTCTATGTTAGGGTACCTTTTCATAGATGAAGATTGACATTGTCGATAACTTCTATCCCCACTTAAAATTGACGAGTTTAGCTAGGTAAAATGAAGAGATGATTAAAAACAGCTTTTAAATTATTTGTTACTCATATGAGGTCTCAATTTTAGTTTAAAGCTGTATTTTAAGCTGTTTCAAAAGTTCTAGAATCTACAAATGTAAACAACTACTTAATATTTGTGGATTTTTATAAATGTATGTTTTTTAAGTTTTAAAATTTCACTTTTATTTGTAGGTGTTACTTCTGCCAAAAATGGAACTTTAACATTTATGGTAGGAGGCAGTACAACTAAATTTGATGCAGTTAAAAGTATTTTACTGTGTATGGGCGAGAATGTTGTTCATTGTGGCGGTGTTGGAACAGGACAAGCTGCCAAAATTTGTAATAATATGGCTTTAGCTATTTCAATGATTGGAACGTCAGAAGCAATGAACCTTGGTATTAGGTAAAAATATTTTCTTTTGAAAAAAATATGTAATAATACAGGGTTGCCACTTCACAGGGAAAACCTTGAGAATACAGTGAATTAAAAAATAACTAGAAATAACATGGAAATTGCGGGGAATTGTGATTTTTTTCCCTTCTTTATGAACTGGGAAAATAAAAAGAGTTCTGTTTCTTTTTTTTCTTCTTCTTTTTTTTTTTAAATAGTGACCTCTCAAATCTATGGGATATTTAAGGGTGATATTTCAATTGTACTGAACTATTTCATTTACTATAGCATTATTTATGTATGTTCAGTTGTTCCTTTAAAATTTTTTCTATAAGTTTTTCCAGCAATTAAAACTATTAAATATACAGTAGAGCGCCGAATATCCGAACTGCTCGGGACCGAACGTGGTTCGGATAATGAAAAGTTCGGATAATTGGAAAGTTGTTTAAAATCTAGTTTAAATGATTATTATTTATGTGCCAACTTCCCTTCACACTTTTTCCAGGCTTAGGACTGGCAGTACTATCTAAAATAGCTTGGCGTATTTAAATTATTTATTAAAATTTTTTTTTAAATTTTTTTCAAAACTTTTTTTCATTTAAAATTTTTTTGGGTCATATTTCAGCTTTTTATAAATTGTTTGTCAGTTACTGATTTTACCACATTTATCTTTATTTTCCAATGCGAAAGAAATCCAGCAAAGACTTTTGAATCAGTGAAGATACTCTTTTTTTAGCAGCCGTATCCCTTATTCTTTTTAAATAAATCAACTGAACTGGATCAACATCATTTTGATGATCTAGCCAGTTCATTGCAATATCTAACGCATTGCATGCTTCTATATGAGAAGGTCCACAATCTTGAATTTGGTCACCTACTTCTTCCTCTTCGTTGGTGGAGTTCCGATTTTCATTCAAAATTTCAGTAACAATTTCATCATCTTTTAAAATTTGAAATCCTGGGTCATTTTCAGTGTCTTGATACCAGTCTTCGATTTCTTCTGCTGTATAACCTGGCATCTTTTCATCCGGAAATTCTACTGGCTCAGAAACTTCTGTTTCGTTTGTTTTTCTGTTAAGAATCTTATTCCAAGATTTTCTAAGTGTTAATGTTTTTACTAAATTCAGAGAACAGCTATCATCATGCAGAAATCTTTTAAATCAATAGCTTTGATTGAGTTTCCAAAATCCCTCTCATTTTGTTCATCCGAGAGTAAAATCTTCCTTAAAAGTTGCTTTCTATAAAGACATTTTAAGGTTTCAATGACACTTTGATCCATCGCCTGAATCGAAGGTGTCACATTAGGTGGCAGGAAAACAACCCGAAACATTCCATTCTCCCGATCTAAGAGATCAGGATTTGGATGCGACTGAGCATTGTCCAAGATGAGTAACACTTTTCCTGTTTTTCCCAAATTCTTTTGATATTTCTTCACATTTGGAATGAAAGTCTTATCATACCACTCAATAAAAATGCTGGTGTTCATCCACGCTTTGTTTTGAGATGCATAAATGACAGGTAGTGTTTTAACATTTTTGAAGGCTCTTGGATTTTTGGATTTTCCAATCATCATTAAAGGTATTCGATGATTTCCAGTTGCATTTGCACGTTAATTGTGACTCTTTCTTTAATTATTTTGTTCCCGGAAACATGCTTTTCATCTCCTGTAGCCAAAGTTCTTCGTGGTAGAGATTTCCAATTCAGTCCACTTTCATCTGCATTATAAATAAATTCTTCTTCATATCCTTCAGTTTCAATAATGCTTTCTAATTCCTTTACAAAATTTGAAGCGGATTCGGTAGATGCGGAAAGTTTTTCGCCATGAATTTCTAACTCACGTATTCCATGTCGATGTTTAAAGTTCCTTAACCATCCTGAACTAGCCTGAAAAGTACCTTTTCCACCAAATTTCTCATGAAAAAATAAAATTTTTTCGCATAATAGGTGGCCAGATATTGGTTCGCCTAATGATCTTTTTTGTAGGAACCACAAATAAAGTGCATTGTCCACTTCATCGTTGCTTGACTTTTTCATGCATTTTCTATCGAAATATCCATTGTTTTTGTCCATTACCGAAACATAATTCATAACTGATTCTTCATTTTTTCCCAATTCCGATACTGTCAATTTTCCTACGCCATATTCTGCCCCTAATTTACTTCCACTTTCTCCATTTTTCAATCTTTTTGAAATTTTCATTTTATCACTTAAGGAAAGAACGATTCTCTTACGTTTGCACGACATCTTTCTAGATTCTTACGAAAAGCACTTTTCTCAGGTAACTCTACTTTTCAACTGATTCTAATCTTGACAACAGAACACCTGTTGTCCAAAAGTGCATTTCGGAAGTGACATCATAAAAACATGGTCATTCTACTGGTCATTTTCTAGTTTACATGATGAAACCGAGTTCTGTTAATTTCCTCGAAAAGTAACCAGCTGTGAGAAGCGCACTGTAATCACTAATCATTAACCATAAGTGACAACTACCCACCCCCCAATTGTAGAACTTCAGCACTTATCTATTCATAAACTCCTTCCGCATTCCAACATTGTTGACTGTCAAAATGAAGCTAACATTCTTGAAAGAGAATTTTCAGTTGAAGAGGGCTAAAGGGGTATGTGGGTTTAACTGTATAACAATGCATGCATGCATGGCTACTTTAAGAAAACTGCTAAAAAAGGTTGTAAATTAAATATGATCTTCAGATGCAGTAGATCTTATTTATTCTTCTAAATTGAGAAAAATTATCGATAAGTTAAAAAGTATTCTAAACTCTAAAAAAAAAAAAAAAAAAANAAAGCGAATTTGGACATAGTTCGGATAATTGGACGTTCGGATAATAAGGGTTCGGATAATTGGTGCTCTACTGTAGTTAGCCGAATGTAGCTCACATAAGAGCACAGTAATAGTTGTGTTCCTCTAAATATATTGTATATAATATGTACAGAGAAAACAGATTTTGACTAGCAGCACTGTAATAGAGCTACCAGTAATTAACTATCTCTTATTTTTCCCCATATTAATTAGTAACCTAAAATTAACTAAAACTAAGTTACTTTTCTAACTATTTATTTATAAATTTAATTTAAGCTGCTGAATTTCAAAATAAAGTAATTTTTTTAGAAATTTTAATATTTATCAACAAAGGATAGAGTGAGTATTCTGTATGATTTTATTTGATCTTATATTTGATTGTTTTTTGATGATTAAACGTGCATGTCTGGTAAAAAGTCAAATGTGAATCATGCTTTTTTTTTGCAGTGGAAAATGTCTAATCTAATGGCTTTTCTTTCTTACTAAAATGCATATCTGCATTATTTTAACATTAAATTTGTGTATTTTCTTATAATAACAAGCTGAGTCGTGATGGCTCAGGGGACAAAGCGTTCGCCTTCCAATGAGATGAACTGGGTTTGAATCCCAGTGATGGCTGGTTGATTTCTGCATCTGACTAGTGCCAGCCACAGTGCTGATGTAAAATATTGTCAGTGGTAGAGGGATCATGGGTTAGAGTCCCTTGAACGTCAGGCTAACCGTGGGTGGTTTTTGTGGTTTTCCACTCCATGTAACACATATGTGGGTTAGTTCCATCAAAAGTCCTCCACGAAGGCACATTTCTCCCAATACTTGATCCAGGAGTTCCCTTGTCTTCTGGATGGAGTTCAGAATTACAAGGCTACGAAGTTGAAAATTTTAGCAGTCATAAATCCAAAATATTTGGTCGGCTGTTCAACGACAGTTATAAAATAAAATAAAACTGGATACTTAAAATTTTAATAACTGAGCAAATGACAAAAAATTTTATTTTGCATTTTCTTTTGCTTTAAATTTGTTTTTTAAAATTATTTTTAAATTTTTTGGTGGTAAATAAATAATCCCATTAACAATCTTTAAAGAACTATTCATGTTTGAGTATAGCCAGTAAAAAAATTGTAGAGAAATGAGAACTAAATTGAAATAGCGTCTGCTGTCACATAGCAGACCAAAAGATGAACTTTATGTATGCACTAACACTTCACCTGACCAAGAACTTAGATTATGTCTAATTTCTTAGACTGAGAAATCTTCCAAGAGCTTGACTCGTGTAGACAAATCTTTTATTTGGGCTTTCAAAAAATGAGTTTAAAGTTTGTCCTTAAAAACCTCATCTTAGTTCCTTTCTGAATGATACAAGTTTGAAAATATTAGCTTTATTTAAACCAATGCTGTTTATTTACATTTCGCTTTATAACTAAGTAAATAAATTTCAAAAACTGACCAAAATTTGAATTTTAATACTCATTAAGGTGAAAAGAAATAATATTTTCAAAACTGCTATTATTAATACTTTATCAATATTGTTACTTAATGAAAAAGTTGCTCCATTATTCATAACAAGCATAGAAGTAAAGTCAAACTTCTTCCAATGTGGTAGCCTGTTAGAATTAGGCCAAATCAAATGCTTGAAATTTGTCGACTGGAAAGATTCCTTGCCCTTATTGTTTCTGCTATAGAATAGGGAGGCTGTTAGAGCTACATGGTGTCATGAACCTGATCTAGTCTTTACTGTACAAGGGGTACATGGATAAACAGCAAATTATTTTGCTAGAAATATTTTGACAATTGTATAGAGTTAACTTGAGTTTTGTACACTAGTGTAATGTTAAAAAAACATACTATGTTTGTTATCTAAGTCAAAATTTTTGCTGGTTTATGTTGGTTTCAGTGCGATTGATGATGGTTACCATCATCCAACATTTTCCATTATGCCTTCATGGTTTTTGATATGCCATCAAACTTCAATCATGCTACTTTAATACTAATGTGTACTACCGTATGCTAGTACCCTGTCAATCATCAAGAGAAGTTTGATTGTCATGGACCAACAATCCAGTCTGAATTCCTACATGAGGATGATAATGGTTCACGATCACCCCAACTTTTGATTTCTATGATACCATGATGTAAATTCGTGATGTTGCATGATGGTTGAATAATTATTGTTGGTTCAGCAGGAATATACCATCAAAACAATTTGTTTATGTTGGCTCATCAAAAATCAGTCTGAATTCCTACTTTGGGGTGATGATGGTTCATAATCGTTCCAACATTTGATTTCTAAGAAACTAAGATAAATTTCTGATGGTTCAACGTGAACAAACCATCTAAACAAGTTGCTATTCTTATGTTGGACCATCATAAATCAGTCTGAATTCCTGCACTGGGATGATGGTTACTTATGTTGGATACTACCAAAAATATAATGGTTCATGATGGAATTATTGATGGTTAGCATCATGATTATGTTGGCCCACCAATGGAAGACCATCAAAAAGTTTGACTTGGATAATGAAGTTTATTGCAAACCCTGGTTAAATCATGAATCTGTGCTTATTTTTCTTTCAGATTTATATTCATACAATGCTTTAGTTTTCATATTATGTGCATAAGATCCAAAATATCCTACTGAACAGTAGTCTTCATTACCATCTTAACTTAATAAAGGTGTTCATTTAGCAAGGACATATTACATTAAATTTAAAAAGATTCAATACTAAAAATGTAGAATAAAATTAGTAAATTTAGAAAAATGGAATCTTACTGTAAGTAATAAAACCTAGGAAATATCTGTTATAAAAATGTTAAACCCTAAAAATGTAGAATAAAATTAGTAAATTTAGAAAACATAGATTTTTAGTCTTACTATAATTGCCATAATATGGCAATACCTGTTATAAAACTACTAAAGAAAAGAATGATATTTTCATATTTATTTATCTTGCAAATGAATTGGAAATAAATTGTTTTTCTTGTAAAGATTCATACAATGCTTTAGTTTCCATATTATGTTCATAAAATTCCCAATATCCTACTGAACAATAGTCTTCATTACTATCTTAACTTAATAAAAGTGTTCATGTAGCAAGGACATATTACACCCTGTGGCAGAATTTTTTCGAGCTATCTGCGACAAAACTCTAGCACTAATATTTTTTTGCAAGATACTTTTAACACTAAACATACCATATCCGGTCAAAAGACCGGTTTTTGTATGTTGTATTGTGTTGTGTTAAAAAGTATTGGTATGTTTAGTGTTAATAATAGCAAACATATATGTTACCAATTTAAAATAACAAAAGCGCTGTGTTTGCAAAAAAAAACTATTATAATTTTTTTTATAATTGAACATGTAACAATTTTTTATTCATATATTTTGTTGGGGGAAAAACTCACTATTTATTTCCTTCTTCGCATTTCGTAAATATGAAATCCGTTGCCGAAAAATTTGACAACGAAATCATGGAAACGGACTCAAAAAAGGATAACTCAAATGCGAGTTTCGTTTCAAGCTTAGGTTGTATTAATAAATAATACTGGAGAAATCAATAGCAATAACTGCCAAAAATTCAATAGAATCACTGTCTTAAAAAAGAAAAACTCAAATACACGATTCGAATTTTCCATTTTGTTGAAATATATCGGGATATTTAAAAGCCTAGTGAAAATTAATATCAGTAACTGCTGAAAATAAAATCGGAAAATTACATCTATTTACAACACTATCGGCGTAAATTGAGCGCGTCAAAAAGTGATTATCTAAATGCATGATTTAAATATTACGTGTACATATCTGTAGAAAAGAAAACTAAAATTGTTTACTTTTCAAGAGAAAAATCTTTCTGCAAGACCTCTGTAATGTTCTGTAACAATGTTGCTGCGATTCTGCTACGGGGATATTACGTTGATATAAAGAGATTCAATGCTAAACTTGTCGAATAAAATATGTAAATTTAGAAAGCATAGAATCTTACTATAAGTAACTAAAGCCATAATATGGCAATATCTGTTACAAAACTGTTAAAAAAACGAATGATATTTTCATAATCTTGTAAGTGAATTGGAAATAAATTATTTTTCTTATAAATATAATATTTACTCTTTATATTTTTTAATAAGCTTTTTGTTTCCACAGACTTGGTTTGGACCCAAAAATGATGGGCAAACTTCTAAATATGTCTTCTGGAAGGTCATGGGCTAGTGAGGTATATAATCCAGTTCCAGGAGTTTTACCTGATGTTCCTGCTTCCAATGATTATCAAGGTGGATTTGGAACTGCATTAATGGCAAAAGTAAACTTTAATAATGAAATTTCTCACTCTAATTAATACTTAAAACATTTAGTACTCATACTTTAATTATCTAAAGTGTGTTTAGTGATTTGATATTAGCAATTAGTAGCACTAGGCGATGTCAAAATTTTGACACTGGCTCAATGTATAGTCACGCTAACATTGCAATATTTTGATGTTTCGGTACATTAATGTTTTACATTTAGTACTGTGTAAACTCCCAATTGGTAAGTTGCACTTTTTTGAAAATCGACATTGCATTTTTTAATAATTATTTCTCAATATTTGAAGATATCTAAAAAATAGCGGTTAAAGACACTAAACAGCTGGATAAATTGTGAGAAAATGATCAGGATTTGCACACACACAATTAAAAAGAAACCCCTTCTGTAACTAAGAGAGTCAACAACACTTCGATTCTCAGTCACATTCGGATTAATCATGTCAGCAAAATGATGAGTCACGATGTAAAAAAGACGAGGAAAGATAACGATCATTGTCATAGCAATCACTGCACACTTACAGAGGAATATACTCTTTGCATGAACTTGCAGATATCGAAGTACTATCAGGAACAATGCTCAACATCACGTGTGTAGACATTGATATCAACAATACATCAGGAAATATCGTACGCATCTCAGTAAATCACAATTTCCGATACTTCAAAAAATTGCCAGTCCAAACATCGGATAGGCAATATTTGCATAGAATCGATACTTCTGAAGTATTCATTTATCGCCCAGCCTTAGCTATTAGTATTCACATAGTTTTTTATTCTCATTCTTAATAATTTTTTTTAAATCAGCATAATTATTTATGTGTTAAAAATATAGTACAGTCAAAGTAAGGTTTTAAGTAGACGTTCACAATAACAAGTTGGGATATATTGGAATTTGCTTATGGAGGCTCACATGAAAATTCCAAAAATTCTGTGTTGAGTTTAGGAGGAAGGAGTCTTATTACTGATATTCAAAAAAATAAATAAAAAATGAATGAGGTTTTGTTACTTGTTTATTTTGTTTCTTTTTTTTTGTTATTAGTTTATTTCCTTTGTCTGAATTCAGTGAGACCAAGTACTAGCCAATAAGATCAAAAGTTCAGAAGTTACAAGGATGTTGAGGTTTAAATGTACTATTTTTAATTAATGTCAGAGTTGCCATTCCACAAGGAAAATAGGGAAAGCCTGGAAAATACATGGAATTTAAAAATCACCTAAAATAAGCAATTATAACTAGTATAGTTAGACTAATATCAACTAGCTAGACACACTCAAGAGCATTGTGATTGTGCATTTCCTCTTAATATATTGTGTTTAATATGTGCAGGGAAAACACAAGGAATTTTTTTCTCCAGATTTGAGTGGCAATCCTGTGTATGAAACAGTGGTGGATAGCTGAGACCTAAAGTACAAAACTAGAGAGCAGGGTAGAAGCTTTGTGTAAACAAGAGTAACAAATTGATTTACTACACTGATGTGTCTAAGCATCTGTTTCATCTCTGAAACATCCTGGGGACCGCTAATTGCCACCCTTTACTTTTTTGCCCTTTTTAAGTAAAAAATACTATTTAATGAGATATAAGCTTGATACTTTTAAATTGCCCTTCTTAGTGACGACTTCTGTTACAAAAAAGTAGGAGGGCTAATAAAAGAGAGTTTCCTTCGTTGACTATTCATCTTTTTTAAGTTATAATAATGCAATGAGGCTGGAAAAAGAAGCAAGATTCCCCGGGATTTTCTTTACGACCAGGGTTCGCCAAGTGGGCCCACTTTGAAAAAACCCATCCGGGTTTTATAAGGTGGGCCCACCTTGAAAAAACCCACTTGGTGGTTTTTTGACAAAGTGGTTTTTTTAAATTTGGTTGAAAAAAACGTATCTCCTAATACTATCATTGGACGCATCATGGAAGTTAACAAGTATTTTAGAAATGTGCATCAAGCACATGGATGGGCAAATGAAAAAAAAACTGCTTGGTGCCCCAATTACCAAATGATACTAGGTGGAGTTCATATTGTGACCACGTAAAAACTTAGCCAATAATTATCATAAATATTGTAATAAATATAAAGATTGCTCTTGAACATCAAAATGAATTCAATAATAATATGTCAAAAATATTAAATAATGTTGGGCTTTACCAATAAACTAATAATTTGGAATAACAGTTATCAATTGTTTCTGAAGTTTTAAAAAGCTTCCATCAGAAAACATTTCAATTTCAGAAGCTGGTGAAATATGAATTAACTTACTATCATGCGATGAACTAGAACCCCATAAACATTTTGTAAAAAGATTCCATCAGGCTGTTCAACCACCTCATTTATTAGCATATGCATCCAGGATCCCGAAACAAGGGGACAATTTTTAAATGATGAACAAGAGCAATTAGCTGAAAACTGTCTTTCTAAGCATCATCCAAAATTTCTGCCAGGTGTTATGGCATTCAAAATTTCCGATCCTGAATACTTTCCAAAATCAATGATGCTTGTCACTGTTATTCAACAATTTTCATCAAAAAATAGTGGAAAATTATGGAGAGAAAAAAATGTAAGCTATTTCTGCCAATTCTTTTTTCTTTACACTCAGTACCAGCATCCTCTGTCTCTATCGAAAGACTTTTTAACTTTCGGTTTGGTGTGCAGTAAACTATACGAAATACATTAGGAATAGATAAAGCTACAAAACTCGTAAATGTGTATCATCATCTAAGAGAGAAATGTAGACACTTTGAATCTGCTGTATGATAATAATAATAATGAAAAAATGGACCTTTTTTAAAGTTAATTCTTAACATCTGATGACAATTTTTAACTATTTGGAGAAAGTTAATCACCATTAAAAAACAATTAAAAATTAAAATATTACTTTTAAGATTTTTTAAATATTATTTTTAAGATTTCATTTGAATATAATTTATTTTATTTCGTTTAATCATGTTTAAAAAAGTTGAAAACAAACACACAAAAAAACAACAATAAACAAATTAGAAGTTTTATTCTCTGGTTTTAAAAAAATAAGCTAAATCTTTTTATGTATGCTTTTTTATATTTTTAAGATGAATTTGTTTTTTGAAATTATAAAGTTAAAATTTATCTGAAAATGCAGTCTTTTTTCTAAGGTTAAATATTTGAAAAATGGGACAAGTAACTGATACTCTTTATAATTATACGTAATTTTAATTTTACTTTCTATCACTTTCTAACGTTATGTATTTAACAATAAAGATTCAAACATGCATTAGGGATAGTGCATTATTTAAACTTGTTTTAATTTTATTATAGATATTTTATATAAACTTTTTGGATTTATTTCTATTTTTTAGCTTATACAACACTATTTAATAAATAAAAATATTTTCACAATAAAATTTTAAAGTTTATGATCACGAAACGCAAAAACCCAATTTCCCCCGAGTTTTTTCAAAAATCCCCGGGTTCTTTCGAACCCTGTTTACGACTGACATCAAAAGTACCAATAAGTTAGTTTAACTTTTGTTCCTCCTTCCCATTTATAGATGATTGAAAATGTTGTTACGACATTGTGGGATTTTCATAGGGTAACTCTTTATTTAATTAATGAATTTTAAATAGATTATTTCTACTGCCAATTATGTATGCTTGTCAATGGAAAAGTTTATTTAGTTTCAAAATTAATATGGAAAAATTAGTTACATTTTATAATGTAATAAAAGTTTAATTTTTACACTACAAAAGTATATTTTTTTAAAGTATTTTTTTGAATGAATCCTAGTAATTAAATGTATTTTGTAATGTAATAAAGTTTTAGATCAAATGAATAATTTGCTTTTAAGAGGAGTCAGGATTTCTACTCCAGCTTGTGTTAAAATGACCAAATTTGACATACTGTGAGCAAAATTAAAAAAGCACCTCAGAATAACTCTTCATCTAATCTAATGATCACATTTTCACATACTCAATCTTAATAATTCAAGGACTTAATCTAAAATATGTTAATTAATTAATGCTGACGATATTTTAAGTTATAAAATCAGACATGAAAAACAGGGTGGCCACCCACCTTGAAAACCTGGAATTATCAGAGAATTTTTTTATACTTGAAAAAACGTGGAAAAGTTGGGGAAATTTGGATTAAAACCTGGAAAAATCAGGGAATTTCAAAGAAAAGCTGGAATTTTTCTCTTAATTTAAATTATTTTACCATACAAAAAGTTGAAATATCATCAACTCAGCAATACTTTTCTTGAAGAAAAATTCTCTTCATTATTACCCTGCTCAACTAAAATGCCATTTCAAACTCTTTTATGTTGGGAAATCTTTGACCTCTTTGGAGATTATGGGACTATACAGTTTAAGAAAGACAAAAATGTGGAAGGAAGGATTAGGATATTTGCTTTTGTTTCTTTTAGTCTGTGGGCTGAATTCATTAATTGTTCAAGTTTGTTCCGATGCTTTGGGGGTATTCTTTTCTTTTAACAAAATTATTCAAAATGTTTTTGTATTTTTAGCTTTCTAAAATTCTCCAAAAAATAATTGGTTATAATTTATTTAGAGATTTTATCTTGCACTCTTTTTCTGAAAGCTTTTGTCCAATGAATTATTTTTCTCAGCAAAGTCAACCAATGGCTAATAGCAAAATTGTTACAATTGTTGCATTGATGATGATTTTCTGGATTTCATGATAACTTTTATTTTGAGATTTCTGAAATTGTTTCTCCTTCTGCCCTAAAACGCTGGCAAAAACCAAAGAATATATGGAAAACATGTTAAATGATATAGAAACTTAGAATGGAAAAAAATAATTATTTATATTGGTTTATTAAAATGAAGGAAAGCAAAACTTTGTTATTTTCTTCTGCACTGTACAGGGACAGGTTTCCTGTTGGGCAACTGGATGACCAAAATTTTAAACTTAATATTAAGTAAACTAGGTATCATTTCCAAGGTAAAAAATTGAAGATTTAGAAATAATGATTTTTAACTTATAAATATCAGTTTTTAATAAGTCATAGGCTGTTAA